ACCGTGTGTCCGTAGGGAAAATTTTCAATCATGCTATCGGTCTTAGTTTTTTTCGAGATGCATTGATTCTTCCAAATTAATCAACTCAATCGAGAATTTTTCTTCAAAACTTAACTTTTTCCTTAAAAAATAAGACATGAAAAAGAGACGCTATGTGATGCCAGTCATTCATTGAACATTTTATGGACAATCAATCAAAATATTAGAAAGACTAATACTGCAAATTAAAAAAAAAATACATTCTTCATGTTAACTGTTTGTTGACACCACCGCTGGTAGTGTTTGCAACTTCCAGTTTCAGCTATAAATGATTGCAGATAATATTACCCTATCTAAAATCGAATTATTTATTACGATGATTTCAAATTATTCGAGAAGAAAGTAGTTTCCGAATATATTTTAAAGAAAAGAACACCAGTATAACGTACATTATGGAATGTTTTTGAAATACTTTTCTTCTATTATTTAATATCTGTAACACATAATAGCAGATAACTCGATTCCGGCTGTTCAGAAAAAGCATTAATTTCTATTTGAGAACTGTTTATTAAATATATTGTCCTGATCAAATAATAAAACGAACTAAGGGGGGCAGTTTATAGCGACATCTATTTATCATTGTCTGCTTTTTATAATTAATCAACTATAAAAACATCAATATTTAGTTAATATGAATAATTTAAGTATATATTAGCATATATACTTCAAAATTATTGTTGTCATGGTTTAGGATTGGTTAAATATTATTGACAAACGACTGATTAAATTCATTTTATGCGGTACAAATGATATCATTATGGCTGCCAACGGACAGAGACCGCCTTTTTTTTTTCTTTAAACAAGTGAAGAAGTCATGTTGGTCTTTGATAAATTGTATATATATCATTATTTCAGATTCATTATTTGTTTTCTTTTTGCAACATTTCTTCAATTGTGTCAAAAAAAATAAAAAGATGGCTTCTACTGATGTTACTTCCAATACAAAGATACTTACACTAGCCGAAATTCGAAAATTAGCTGAAGATAAAGATAGATGTATACTGACGATCAATAATCGTGTATATGATGTTACAAGATTCCTTGAAGAGGTTTGTAATGATATCACTAGCAGATTTTAACTAAAAAAATTTGTTTTTCAATATTTTTAAGCATCCAGGTGGTGAAGAAGTCTTAAAAGAACAGCATGGTAAAGATGCAACCAATGCTTTTGAAGATGTTGGTCATAGTTCCGATGCACGGGAACAAATGAAACAATTTGAAATAGCTCAAGTTGATCCTGTAAGTTAATTTATATTCTTTATTTTAATCTACTCACTTCCTCTTTTTTGTTTTGCTTTCTCTACGTCTAGAGTGATATTAAGACACCGGTAAAAAGTTTATCTTTAAAATACTTCAAAAATATTAATTATTTTATTTTTCTTCTTTTTTAAGACTCGTCCTGTAATTGCCAAACCAAACGGTAGTACAGGTGTTGCTCGTGATGATGCTGGATTATCGTGGACTAAATGGGTTATTCCTCTTGTGATAGCCATAGCAGCTGCAGTTCTGTTTAAGTTACTTACAAAACCTGAAGTGAATGTTAATCGACCACCAACAGCTATTTAGATTTTTTTTCTTTTTCCTATCTATTATCTATGATTTACAATTCTATTAAATAAAAAGGGAAAGAAAAAACAAAAAAATATTAATTTAAATCAAAATAAATATTTTAAATCGTGATAATTTTTCTTCTAGATATAATCTTATTTATATTATTATCTCATTGTATTCATTATCCATCTTGTCGCAAATATAAAAAAACCAAAATAAATAATTTTGCAACACGATGGCAGAAGCTCAATTAACAAATCAATTAACACGTATCGATTCAATGACAAATGTTGAATTACGTGCTGAATTAAAACGACGTGGTTGTCCAACATCAGGAAATAAGAAAGATCTATTAGCTAAATTACGTGTTGCTTTACAAAAAGAATATGAACAAACAGCTGTACCAAATTCATCAAATATTGATTCAACAAATTTTGATGGACGAAATAATAATCTTTCTGGTTTACAACAATCACCTGTTGTACGATTAGATGCTAATAGACCTTCATTAGATAATTCAACAACATCATCAAATACTTATATGACACCACATAGTGGTAGTCCAATTGTATATTCAGAACATATACAGAGTGCAGAAGTACCATTAACATATACTAATTTACAAATTCATGATCAAGTAAGAAATAAAAATATTATTTTCTTATGTATACAAATAATATAAACAAAGAAATTTTTTCTCACGTAGTATGTCTGATCCAGCTCAAATTTTTTTATAAATATTTTAGTCGAATTGAGATGCTTGTGTTTTTTTTTTCTCTTCAAAATGTTGTTGCTACGAAAATCAGTACCTTTTAAACAATTACTACTATTGAAAAAAAAACATTTTTTGATAATCCTTTCAGTATTTTTCTTCTTCTGAGCTCTAGAAACGTTTTTTTTTTTGAAAGAAAAAAAAAAACATAAACCTCGATTTTATCCTAATTATCATAAAAAAAGGAGGAAGTATTAGGACTTTGACTCTATGACAACTTTTGCTTTACTTATTGAGATCGATCTTCTTTAAAAGCTTCTTAATTTTTAGTAAAGTTGTTCTCTATAAATCCCAAAAAAGAGAGAGTTCACTTAAATATATCTTGTGATTTCTATCGTCATTATGCACTGCAAATCATGTAGGTCTTTGATTATTACTTATTAATGTTTGGATTAACACATTTTAAAACGATCCACTCTTTAGTACATTGTTTCACAGCATGTCGTTTGAGACTTCGAATAACTTCGAACGTGTCAGACTTTTATAGCTCATTTTGACGTTGCAAGTGTTTAGAAACTTACAATAAAAGATTTAAATAACTTAAAGTTTATAATAGTCATAGATATTTGAGTTGACATCGAAAAAAAAAAGCCGAATTTTTAAAACAAATCGATAATGTAATATTTTTTATACTTTGGATGATCTTGATGTTTACGAATCAAAATTGAATAGTCTCGTATTTACAAATAAAAAGTAAGATTTTGAATAAGCTTGATCAATAGCCGAGTTGCCACCATCTATTAATTGGTCATGATTTTTAGAGCAATCTATTTATTGAATCTAAAACGTAGATGTATTCAATTATCTTTTTTTTTTTCTGACGACTCTTTATCAAGATAATATTACTCAGTTTATTGACTTTTAGCTTTCTTATCGTTTCTCTGCTACAGTGTACTATGATTATATTAAAACAACAGAGGTTCGTTTTCATTGAACTTAAGATCATTATTAAATTCATTTTATATATTGTTTACAGAAAAGAAATTGCACATTCTGCATACACTTCAAAACAACTTGAGTTTACAATAAAATGAAATAAAGACAGACTATTTCTACTATTTATTTAGTAAACTTGCAAAAAATCTTTCTTTATTTCTATCTCATAACAGAATATGACGTCTTTTGTTTGCCTCAAAAATAAGAACATAAACAATATATATGGACTATTTCAAGCAGAAAGAGATACACTTCACCTTGTATTTAACCTTAGTTTTTTTTTACTAGGGTTATATATTTTTTTTGAGTAAGTTTTTTAACATTGAAATATGTAAAAAATTTTCATAAAACTATCCGAAAACTATGCCCAAAAACTTTAGGATAAACGCTAGAACACAAATAATATCGATAGTGAAATATCTTTAATATTCTGACGAAAGATTTGTATTGTGAACTTTGCATTCGACTATTAGAGAATTGTTTCATTTGTATATTGGCATTTCGTTATGTCGCTAAACGAAAAGACAATCAATTATTTATGAAAATCTAAGCATACTCAGAAAAAACATTACATAGAATTTTTATACTCTTCGAAGTTGTCTTTAGAATGTATTCTATAGCTTTTCAAAAAAAATTACCTCAATCAGGAGATTTTTTTAAACTAAAATGCACGAAGTAAAAGTCAATATACTTTATTTTCAGTCACATGGATAACCCTAGTATAATACTCATAAGTTCTCTTGACAAAAGTGAATTGTTTAAGGTGTCTAGATTAAGTTTACATATAAAAATTAGTTCTAGAAACGTTCATTATCACGAAATACATGTGTCTCAATTTTGACCAGTGTTACATCACTAACGAATAATTTCATTCATGTATACCATGATTTTCTATTTTTATAGACTACAGGACAACAAGCACCTGTATACAATTTAAAAGTGCAACAAAATATTCATCAATCTCCAGCACCAATGATTCCTGTTCCTCAACAATTAACAATTTCACCATCGGAAAGATCTCAAATCTATGATCAATCTCTTTTATATAATCAACAAAAAGAACAAGAACATACACCAATGCATACACGTCAAAAACGAACAAGTGTTGATAATCAAATCGATACATCTATGTCTTCAACTATACCTTTAGCAATACCAGAGAAAAGATCACGAACACGAAGTAAAAAAACATCTGTTGATTCTCAACAAAATGAAATTCAACAATCGATACCATCCATGGAAAATCTTTCAAATGAAATCATCAATACAACACCACCTATTGAACCAACGATTACCGACGAATCAATTGTTATCAATGCATCAACAAGTGATAATAATGGTAACAATATCGAGGTGAATCCTATTGTGAGTAAGAGTAATGAGGAAGAACAGAAAGATAGAGATAATATAAGAGAAGAAAGAGAAGATTCACGTTCGCCATCTGTAGGCAGTAGTAGTGCCAAATCTGAGTCTGTTATTAAAGAAATTCCGTTGTCCGGTGAAAGACATCGTTTGAGTCGATCGAAATCACCTAAATCACGTTGGCGTCATTCACCTTCACCACAACAACAGACTAATCAATCAATAACGATTGAAGAAGAAGCAAACTCGGTTGTAACACCTACAAATGATGACAATAAGTATGTATTATAAATTTATATCTTTAATACATAAATATTTCAATAAATTATTTATTTAGTACGACTAATGAACAGGTTGAAAAGTCATCATCTGTGTTAACTCCAGTTACCGAGGAAGAAAATAATTTAGCTGGCAATGAAAACAAACAAGTAATAATTGTTTCTTAAATATTTTTCAAATAATAATGTTTTGTTTATTGTTTCAGGACGAACCATCTGAAGCGAAAAACCAAGAAACTACGACGAGTAAATACTTGTTTTCTTTTTGGTAGTATTCTACCCACGAAAAAAATTCATACGAACTGTATTTTCAATATAAAAAACTGAGTTGATGGTTTAGAACTACTTGACATATATATATAATATAAAGGAGTAGATGCTCACAATATAAAATAAAAATTTTATAACAAATATTCATATATTCTTGGAATGTTTTTAAATACATTCTTGAATAACAATCGTTAATTACTCATTTTGTGCTTCATCAGTCATATCATCTTATTCACATAATAATTTTCAAATGATTTTTTTATACTTTTTGACTAATCAGGTCTCATATTAGATCATTATTGTTAAAATCAGGGCTATAACCTGTTCATTGGCTTAATCCAATATTATGTACTTAACTCAGGAATGTGGTCGATAGAACCTGTCAATTTCGGGTTAGAAATTTTTCTATTAATCAGGTCTAATAGTTTTGTACTTGATGGGCTCTGGTGACTGATGAAGTATAGAATGATTTATTAACAAACATTATTCAACGATATATTTTTACAAATTTCAATGACAGATCGACATTTTATATTAAATTTTTATTTATATTATAAGCGTCTACTCTTGTACTAAACTCATCGTCTCAATAGAAGTCTCTGAGACTTCTGTTATGGAGGAAACTACTGATATGACTTGGATGTGAGTATTTTTGAAGAGAATACTCACACACTCACATGATATCATGCTATGACGAGCAGAAGAAATATGAGTTCATTAATTGGTGATGATGTTCATATACACCTGCTTTCAGATAAAGTGGTGATTACATAGTACATAGTAGCAATGATTTTAGATGTCGATGTCAAATGAAAATGATGTCTAGAGACTCCTCTTAATCATGAGTATTTACGTCTGGAAAAGTCTTTTTTTTATCTACAGACAATAACTGACCAAAGTTAATTTAATAACATCTAGAAAAACCGCCGGAGGTCTTCTATTTCGGGAAGCGATTTATTCACATATATCTATGCCAATTTATTCTAAATGAAAAACTCCATATTTTTATATCGAAGATGTGATTCGCATGGATTTAGTTTTTAATAGATTAATTTTTAATGATTTACACATAAGTTGCTGATTTTTCTGATAGAAAATGAATTATTATCAACTGATAATCAACAACCAGAAAAAGCTGCACCTCAACAACAACTTAAACCTAGTCGATCTCAAACATCATCGTCATCATCATCAGCATCATTAATGAAAGGTCTTAATCGATCAACAACAAGTAATCGAATGAATTTATCATCAGATGTTCTCAAAGTAAATCTTTTTGTTTCTTTAACTTTCATCTGAATTATTTATTTTATTTTAATCTTTCTTTTTTTTTTAAATAGACACTTATTCCTGATATAAGTTTAGCACCTGTATCTGTCATTAATGATGAACTTGAAGCATCAATAAATGAACAAGATCATGGTGATGATATTGAACATTTATCTAATCAACCAGTACTTGAGACAAGTGTTAGTAGTGGTTTTCGTTTATCTGATTCGTTGACAATTGGTGAATTAGCTGATCAAAAACAACAACGTAATCGAACTGTTGTCATTGATGTTGCTGTATGTAAAAAAAATTCTTAATTCTATTCAATTTGATGTTGTAACTTTTTTCATTTAGGTTGATTCTTCATCATTAAACGATGATCTTGTTGGAAATAGTTCGGATAGTCGAAAAAAAATTCAAGCACCAGCACCACCTGCTCGTATTGCATCATTTGAATCAAAAACATTACTCGATGGAAAAACTAATGGTATATAGATTTTGAATAGAATAAATTTCTTTCAAATAATCTATTTTAAATAAATAAGTAATTAATTTTTTTTTTCTTTATATGTTTAGCTTTGATGATGGATGAACCAGTACGTGTAAAAGATGCTACAGCAACACTTGAACCACCTAGTCGAATATTATACATTCGTGGTCTTACTCGTCCATTTACTCTACCATTATTAAAAGAACTTCTTAGTCGTTTTGGTAAATTAGTTGATGGCGAATTTTGGCTTGATAAAATAAAAAGTCAATGTTTTGTCACAGTAAATATCCTTATCATTCTGAAAAATTCTTTTTAAATATTTTTGTATTATATTTTAGTATAATACTCTTGAAGAAGCACAAAATGCGCGTGAAGGTCTTGACGGTTGTCGATGGCCATCAACAAATCCAAAAACATTATCTGTTCGTTTTGGTCGACATGATGAAGTATGATTTTTTTTTTAAAATGCGAAATTTTTAAAAATAATTTCTTTATTTATAGTTTGAATTTAGCAAAACACATGATTTACCACCTGATCAAATGTCAATTGGTAAAGAAGATTCTATACTGTTTTTGTTTTTTTTTTTTTTTTTATTTAATTAATTTTATTTTCTAGATGCAATGGATACTACAAATAATCGTCTTGTACAAGAAAAACCAACTTCTGTTAATAAAATTTCAACATCATCAACACGTCGATCTGTAAGTCCAAATGATGAATCAAAAGTAAATAAAAAAGTTCGTCCAACTGGTAATACCGATGTAAGAGAATGGGATTTACCGAAATTTCAAGAAGAAAAAGAAAAATCACCAACAGAGCGTAAAATTATTGAAGAATCAAAAAGTAATATTAAATAAATAATAAAATAATTCTATTTTATTCATTTTTATTTTGTAAATATTAGCAAAATCTAATGAACCACCACCAAAAGGACTTGATGATTATTTCCGTAAAACAAAAGCCAAACCGGCAATTTATTGGTTACCATTAACTGAAGAACAAGTAGGATCTTTTAAAAAGAATATTGTATTAAGTAAAATATTTTCTTTTATTTTCTTTTAGATAATTGAACGAACTCGTCAACAGCAACAACGTAATGCTGAACGTGATGAAGAACAGAGAAAACGACAACTTGAAGAAAATGCTCGTGCATCCAATAACAATAAAGATTCAGTAAGAATTTATATTCTAATCAATAAATTTCGTGAAACACGATCTAAAAAGAGTGTTAACGTATATAGGGTAGAAATTTGAATACTATGTCCTGCATTCAGAGCACGTCGGATTGATTCCGAGTCAGAAAATTTTGAGTATGACAGGGTTTGTCCATGTGTCACAAGCTGTAACAGACATCGTTGATATACGATCAAAGCTCGTATACTAATAATGTTTCATTGTAATATGTGAGATAGCTTCTTATTGGGTTTTGTGAAGATTAAATAAAAGGATGGTGAAGAAATTTGTTGCAAAATAGATAGAATAAAACAATCTTCTTGTGATTAGCAACAACAGAGTTACATCATGTTTCATATTATAATCTTAAGAGGATTTCGTTAGCATCTTTTATTAAATTAATTGTTTTTATTTCGTAGAAACCTCGTACAAATAATAATGATAATAGATCTACAACTCGTACTCATCGTCGATCACCGTCACCTAAAGAAAAACGTAGACGAATTTCATCAAGTCCATCACCACGTGCACGAGATAATAAACGACATTAGATATTATTGATTCTTTCAATCAAGAGTGTACATAATCTATACTCTTTCTTTTTTGTTTGTTAGTTTTTTTTTTTTCGTTGTTGTATTTGCTCTGTGTCTGTGAGATTCGACCGAAGAAGAAATGAAAAAACATGCTTGTATACGTCAACTATCATTTATTTCTTCAGTTTGTTTTACTTTCATTTCCTGAGAGTATCTCATTGATGTTTGTATTGTGTTTTGTTCTCCTTTTCTTTGTCTTCTACTTCTGAAACAGCAAATAAAAAACAACAATTTTTTGCTTTCTTGATTTCATTATATTCATATTGAAACATTTGAAGATAGTAGTTATTAGAGAAAGAAAATGGCTCGTACACATCATGATCTTATTCAATCACTTGTTGATGAAAATGTTATCAGAGATGAACGAATTAAGCATGCTATGTTAGCAACAGATAGATTTGACTTTGTAACTAATCGAATGTATGAAGATGCCCCACAATCAAGTAATAAATTCTCACCAACGCAATACACTTGAATAATACGTATTGTCTGTCTTTTTTTTACAGTTGGTTATAATGTAACAATATCCGCTCCACATATGCATGCTTTTGCACTTGAAATATTAGGAGATAAACTTGTACCAGGTGCTCGTGTACTTGATGTTGGTTCGGGTTCAGGATATTTAACATTATGTATGGCTCGTCTTGTTTATCCAACTGGAAAAGTATTTGGAATAGAACATATTCCAGAATTAGTTAATTTATCATTAAGAAATATTGCTAAAAATGGTCGTTCATTTCTTGATGATGGTACATTACAAATCGTTTTAGGTGATGGACGTTTAGGTTACCCACAGGGTGAACCATATGATGCTATTCATGTAGGAGCAGCAGCACCACACTGTCCTATAGCATTGATTAGTCAATTAAAACCTGGTGGACGTATAGTTGTACCTGTTGGTATTGGAAATCAAAAAATGATGATTTATGAAAAATCATTAGATGGTCGCCAAGTACACGAGTTTGCAACAATAGATGTAAATTATGTACCATTAACAGATAAAAATGAACAATGGTATTATTGATTATATACGCGATTTTGTACGGTGGCCATTATAAACTTGCATTTAACTATCGGTGATATTTTAGATTAGTAGATAAAAAGTATTTAATAAGTCAATTCTTTTCTCATATTTTTCTTCGTTATGATAAGCTCAGAAATCGACGACAATCTTGCATCTATTCTTACTAGATTCTTTGTTTTCCTCATCGTATTAGATACAATTCTTTTTTTGTCTAGAAGTTCAGTCAAGATGCTTTCCATCAATGATAGTAGAGCAACAAAACGATTCTCGCCAAAGTTTATAAATAGATAGTTATCCTTAGTTTCTCATATGTCTATATTGATTGCTTGCACATGTTTTCTCACTGTTTTCTACAAATAACCTTTTACATTTAAGATGCAATGCAAACAAAGTAAGTTATTATTTAAATAAATGATTTTATTTTTCTTCTCAAGCTTCTTATAATCTACTCGATGAAAATTTTATAAAAATGGCTGTGAACTTCTACTTCTTCCTTTCTTATTACTTTTAACGATATTTTTATTTATTTTTTGGTATTGTATTATCATCCTATTCATTTTTTTAATGCATGCAATTCCAGTGAAAAATTCTACAATAAAATAACAGTGTAAAAGAAATCATAACAGATTCATATTAATCATGAAAATAAAACACAAGAATCTTGTTAATGTATTAAAAAACTCGTCCTATCATGTGATGAAAAAGAAAATTAAACTTCATCTCTAAGACTCGGTAGAGTGTTTCCAAATAAGAGATTTCTTGTCTCGCCAATCAAGATTTTATCTAATGAATTTTTGTTTGATTTGCAACGTCTTTTTGATCACATAAGAATCTTGACGTCAGTAGCTTTTATTTTTAGCAAAACCAAGAATCTGGAAATAATGAAAATAGGAATATTCTTGCGTTTTGTCATTTCTAGACGCAACTCTCAGCAGAAATACGCTCACAATTCGTCTTTATCGACTTGATGAGTTAGTAGATGGCTGTACTTTTTTTTAGTTTATCAATCTTACGTTTTTATTTTTTCGAACAAATGAAATAAACTCTACTTAACGTTTTGGATGATACAAATTGAGCTTCGATAGTTTACGCTTATTTTTGAAAATAAAATGAAAGATAACAGTGACTTTGAATCAAATGATTGAAATGATTACGAATTCAATGTTTCGACCATCTAAGTCGTCATTATCAAGAATAGTATGTACAAATTAGAAACAATATTGATATATATACATAGATAACAGAAAGAAAAAGGTGGACTATATATGATTACTAATATAGGATATTGAATATAGCAACAAAGAAAAGAAAGACAAATTGAATACAAGTAACGGAAACACAATTAGTGTCTATTATATTAGCTGACGATTAGAGTTATATGTGTTGTTATCGATTGATGAAAGAAAGATAAGTTCTTGTCACTTGTTATATGATGTGTATGTAGAAAATGAAAGAAAAGAAAACAAAGATAGAATATTTGTTGACATAATGTTCGTTCTATTTCGTTTTACTTAACCATTCGGATATAATTATATATTTCTTGGTAAGACGTCAGAGAACACAATCAATGGCATTGAATGTGTTGTGCGATTGAGTTTTGTCTTGAACGCTTGGATCAATAGAGATTCTTTCACCAGTAGAAGAGTGTTGGTGTTGTGTTCATCAAGACCTACATAACTATCTAACCCACCTTCACCTATCCTGTTACACCGACGGCAAAGTAAAAATAGCTACATGAGACGGATGATGATAGTTGATGAAAAATAATATCAGACGGTTTTGAAATATGTTTGTTAGTCTCTTACATCCTTCTTCAAAGTAGAATACTATCAGACTATTCAAAATTATACATAATGATGATTGTAAAAGTGAGACCAACAACGCTTAGACGGTTATTATCAACGACTACGCGATTAGAGATTACCTTTTAATGTAACTGGTGAGAACGACTTGTCACGTAAAATTAATAGACTGTAAGATGCTTGTCTGACATTCTTCAGTTGTTTTTGTAATGTTGATGCAACAGACTGTATAGTGCCATGGAGCACAATTAAAGTTCAGTTTTTTATAGATTTTTTTTAATATTTTGTCCCATTGTAAAGATACCTATATCGGATATTTTCAATAAATTTTCTAATGAAACAACGTAGAAGAATTCTTAGTAGATGTATCATACTTTTTACATGATGATTAATAATATTGCAGAACCCACGAAGTATGTACAAATATATACATGAATGTGTCGAGAAGATATCGTTCATGACTTTTCTTGGTTATTCATATGCCAACTCACCAGTGAGTCGGCTGGCACAAAGAAACGCATAGATAAAAACCAATCATTGACAAATGTTACTAGAAAAGTAACCGCTAACAACGTCAAGATATCAACAAATAGTTACTTCTTTTTTAGATCAAGTGCGTTATAACTACTGTTTATTTGAGAGTATCAGATTTCGAACGAGTAGATTTCGAATGATAACTGGCGCGATAGTATGGATGTCTTTTAGAATTTATATCAATTATTTTTAAAAACAATTGATATATCAAAAGATTAGAACTCCATGAGACAGTTCTGAAGTCGAATTATTTTAAAACAAATGAAATGATGCTAATCAACAGTGTGTAAGAACTGAAACATAGAAATTCACAAACTGTAAAGGCTTACTCCTCAAAAAAAAAATCAATTTTCATGAAAAATATGAAAAGTGAGATAAACGCTTATAATGGTAGTCCGAAGTCTGGTTTTTTATTTGGTATCTGGTTTCTTTCCAGAAACTTTCGTAATCTTCTGCTTGAAAGGTAGGATTTTTCAGATACAGTAGAAAATATTTTTTTTACTTTTTTCCTCAGTTTATACTCTTCTGATCTCGCAGTCCAAAATTCTCAAAGGAGCTTCATTCTATATGTTTAAGTCGTGTTTATTTGAAAGAGTATATCAAAACACAGTGGAGTATTAAAGGGTGTTCCGGAAGTTCTGAACCGATTTTAAAATTTATCGTTCTCGCATTCAACAAACGCAAACTCTTTGAAACTTTGACATATTATTGCACATATGTAGTGCCACATAACTACAAAGTTTGAGATCTATAGGTTCTACTGTAGAGGAGAACCTGTAACAACACTATGATGTACTATTTTTAAAATTTTCCTGTATCCCGAGTCTACCAAAATATCTATATTTCGGCTTAGGTAGATGATAAAATCTTGAATTTTTTTTAAAAGCTGCGCCGTGAAAAGCTCTACAAAAATTGTAATAACAAATCCCTATTGACTTATGTTGATGGTTTCTGCCATACATAAAATGAAAAATCTACATGATGGTACTACTTCTCACCATATTGTGCGTAATAAAAAATGTTTGGAAGAACATTATGTTTTGCATGTATCTCAGCTTGAGAAAATGATAAAATCTTGATTTCTTTTTCAAAAGACGCACTGTCGAAAGCTCTACAAAAGCTATATAAACAAATTCCTATTGGAAAGCAAAAAGGTCTTCCAAACCTTTTTTTTATTACGCATAATATGGTGAGAAGTAGTACTACCATACAGATTTTTCATTTTGAGTATGGCAGAAACCATTAACACAAAGTCAATAGGGATTTGTTATTGCACTATTTGTAGAGCTTTTCACGGCGCATCTTTTAAAGAAAAATTCAAGTTTTTATCATTTACCTAAGCCAAGATATAGACGTAATAAAAAAATGTTGCACACCTCGAAGATGACCAGGAAAATTTAAAAAATAGTACATGTCAGTATTGTTACAGTTGCTCATCCATAGTAGAACCTATAGACCTCAAACTTTATAGTTATGTAATACTATATATGTACAACAATCTACCAAAGTTTGAACAAATTTGCTTTTGTAGAATGCGAGAACGATAAATTTTAAAATCGTTTCAGAATTTCCGGAACACCCCTTATATTTATCTTCATTCATTTCTTCATTTTTTAGGTATATGACAGTGGAATGTTTTATGAATAGAGTATCATTTTGAGTTTAGCAATCATAGAACAGTATTGGAATTGACAATGAATTCCTATTTTTTCAATCCTTGGAGATATGCCACATTTTATTGGAGCGAAAGGATGAGAAACTATATCACCATGTTTAGATGATGCACTTACAGATTCGTTTCAGAAAGAAATAGTTTTTTAAAAAGCGATATCATTATATGAATTCATTATTGTTTGAAGCTCAACTAATTTTATCACGTGATAACGTTCACAGTAACCGCAAAAAAAGAGAGCGAAAGAAAAACATATCTCATAAATAATTAATAAATTAAATTTTTAATGCAAGACGCGACACTTGAAATAAAACAAAATTCTACAAATGCTAACTTGTACCGATTTTTCAAGATGATTGAGATAGTATACACAGACCAAATGTTGAGATAAATTATGATTGAATCTCTATTTGATGAACATATTGGTTCCGAAGTTGTTGATGGAAAATTTGCTGGCTTTTGGTTAATCAAGACATATTAGAGTACCATCAAGAAAAAACTTAGAGGACAAACATTTGAGTATGAATCATTAATAAGACATTAAGTAGTGCGCTAGAATGGAAAATATTTATTACGGCAAAACAAGAACAAATGATCGAAGAAGCACTGAGTTGATTGAAACAATTGATCGATGAAGATGAATAGTAGATATATGAACATTCCTGCACGTTAGATTTTCTTATGATGTTCTACGACATGTTATTTGTAAGTTCCGTTCAAATCATTATATTTTTTATTCGACATCAATAATAAACTAGTAGAAATACGTCTAAAAATATTTGAACAATCCGTCATGAGTTTTACGTGATTTGTTTCTCTGTAATTATCAAAGAGAGAAAGCTCAAGTTTCAGTAAAGAGTAGTAGATCCAGGCATCTGACATCTATATTGTAAATGTCGGCCTGTTTCACTAAAGAAACATAAGAATAAAATATTACTTGAGGAGATCGAGACTTATTCGATACTCTTTATATAGACATTAATTATAATGAGAAATTAATCTTTTATGTAAAACAAATATCGCAAGAAAAAATAGATACATTATTGTAAAAGGTCTTTACGAAAGAATAGGATTTTTCTGATTTGATAAATCTTTTATTTAAAACAATTGATACATAATGAAAAATTCATAAAACTATTTTTAAGCAAAAATCTTGACCAATCGATTATTTTTGATAGTAATGTTTTTTTTTTCTAGAGAGATAAATGATATACATAAAGTTCTTAAGAGGTCAAGGCTTAGAAAACAATTTTATTACTTGATGTATTATCTCATCATTAGTAAACAACTTTTTTTCTGGTCATGTCCATTTTTTGTCATATTGTAATATTACTGTTTCATGTAAATAGGCGCATAAAAGTTTGCCTATCATCGAGTTATATATTGTAAGTTCGGTAATTCTTTTTTAATAGGAAAGTTATGTGAAAATTATAAAATAAAGAGAAGAATATTTCTTCTAAATATGTATTAAATTCAGAGACTTCAATCCTATGATATATGAGAAAATTTGACGTAATTATTAATACATGATATTGTGAAACTTATCAAGTTTCACATTGATAATTAAGAATAAAACAAGATTGAAAGTAATTATTTTAAAGACAGCATAAATAAACCCGTTGTATTTTTAACATAGACTTTTTGGATTTTGATATCCATTTATTCAAACTACTGATCAATAAATTACTAACGTGATAAAATGGATATCTCCCAAAAGTCTTTCTTATTGTATCAATCTTCATAATCCTGTTATAAATTACAATTTTTTCACCATATCTTTTTCTTTGCTCTTCAAAGAATACATAGAGAATTAAAAAACAAAACATATTAGGCAACAATTGATCACAAAATATATTCTTTTTCTTATAACAAAATATTCATAAAAACACTATCTTGGTAATAGAGAGATGCATTCTTTTTCTAGATTTCTTTTAGTACCATCTTTAATTGTCACTTTCGATGAATGACTATTATTCAATTTTCTAGTCAAATTTTGTTGATCGTTATTATTTGCTAATCTCATTTGTTGTGGTGTATTATTACTTTGAATACGATTTGTTCTTGTTTGAATAGTTTTTGATTGTCGTCGAAGTCTTCTTTGACAACATTGTGGTAAATGTGAAATAATTAATTCGAACCATTCACATAATGTTCGACGATATGGTGGCGATGTTATACCTAAAAAATAATCAATAATTGGAAGAAAAATAATTATAATTATATTTCTTTTTTTCTTTAAAAGAAAGTTTACCATAAAAAATAAAATTTAATGAATGATTACAATATTGCATTAGATAAATAATAGCTTTAAAACGTGGATAAGCAACTTCTTCATTTGGATCACGAAATAAAATAGTCGTTACAAATACAACTGGACTTACAAGAATAAAATAAAGTAAATTAAGTGTAAAAAGTAAATAAAATAAACTTTTTGCTTTATTTGGTGTTGCTCCACCTGCTTGAGTATTTTTTCCTGGACGACGTGAACGGAATACACGTCTTTGTTGATAATAAACACGATAAACAATGAAAAATGTTCCAATACTCATTACAGTAAATGGAATCAGTGCATAAAGACATACATCAACCCATTCCCATACCTAATTAATTGAATAAAGCTTTGATTATTGTTTTTATCTCAATTACAAGAAAAACTTACATGATCCCAAAAATATTCATAACGACTTCCTTTCAATGCAGCACATTGAGGTACTGTTAAAGTTGTTGTTGATGAATCAAATCGTAATATATTTGTTGTTGCATTTGGTATTGATGTAGCTAATGATGAATAAAAAAAACGATTTGTTATTGACGACGACGATGACGACGATGATGATGATGATAATGTTGTTATATCACGTTTGTCTCTTGGACATAAAAAATTCCATTTAGCATTATTACAGATTGAACGTAAAAAAAATGCTGATTCTAAATTTCTTTTTTGTTGTTGTCTATTATCATCATCAGTATTGGTATTATTAGTAGTAGTAGTATTTATTTCGAAATCTGTCAATGTAAATGAAGTTTGTGTTGAAAAACTTGAACGTAATGGTGATGACGTTGTATGTTCATCTGTATTTGTTATTAAATCAATCGGGTCTGTTTCTTGTAAACGAATATATGCTAATTCGTGACAATTAAGTAAAGCAATGATAATTAATATGCTTGCAACAATATATTCAGCTGAACGTGGTGTACAAAATTTTCTTGCAAATTGTATACAATTTGTTGCTATAGCACGATCAACAGATATAAAGGATAATATCCATGACGATGAATGTTGAGACCAATATGTTATAAATGTATGTAAACGACATGTTATTGGATTAAGATTTCTTAATGAAAATGCTATACCATATTCAATTGTAAGAAATAAATCCAGTAAACCAGAATAAAGTACTAATAAATCCATTAATGAAAGTAACGCAAGATAACGAAATGTTGATGATTTTCGTAATGTACCTTGGGAAAATATAATAAACGAAAGAACATTACCAAATGTACCAACTATCAGTAGAAATATTGAACCATAACGTACTAAATGTGGATCAACACCAAATAAAGATGCTGATGATACTACTGATGGTGTTTGTGGACTGTTGGTCATTTCATCATCTATTCATATAAAACAAAAATACTATCTATTTATTATTGAATTTATTTCAGGACGTATATTTCAATTCTATTTAAACTTCATTTACAAGTAATCAATATCATTAGTTAGATTAGTTAGCTATTCACTTACTCATGTCAAATTGATCGATTAATTTGGCCATGCAGAAATCATCATGGCTCACAAGTGCCAGATCTGATTATGAATGGGGTATTGAATACAGATATTTCACAGACTAGTTCTATGTCTTTTTTCCTTATTCCATTTATATCACTCCCTTTCTTTTTCTTCTTGTTTTTCGTATGCATCAACATGCATTTCTCTTTTCCTCTCGTCTGCATCTTCAAGCGTAAGCAGTTTTTCAAGCGATAAAAGGAGTCTTATTATCCTTTCATTACGAGACAACAATAAACACACAGATATATATATATATATATATATATAACAGCTGTGCCGAAATTCGTCAATAAAACATATCATCAATTCATTACTATCATAATCACATTATTGAATAAGAATGGTCACCTGTACTTTATACCTCTGACTATATTCCTTCACATATCAAATTTCTTCTTCGAACTATATAGATATCAACGTATCAATAAACTAATTAGTCCTAAACTACTATAAATATACATATAAATAAAAAATACCAATGGTTATTTATACAGATTGAGAACCAATAATATGAAATCTCATTTGTTAAATGGTTCTTTAGCTTGCATTTCTATTTTTGTCAATACTCCTTCTATCCTCTCAGACACGTCCTGTTCACGACCATCAAAGAAGAAAAAAAAGATCTGGTCGACTTCTGTTTCTAGCTCTTGTGAATAATAATTTTTAAGTTGACATTCGTCTATTGAAAGAAGGTTGAAATGTCCATGCATGTGCATGTTAATATACACACACTTACAGACACAATCATTCTTGCAAAGCATGGATTCTCATCGGCTTAATATAAGCAGAATAAAAATAGATATAGAATTTCATTTAATTTCTTTTCTTTCTATGAGCATATTGTTTTGTCAGATTCATATTATAAATGAATAAACAAAAACAAAAAGTTGATGTTTTTTATTGATAAAGTTTTTCTTTTGGTTGATTCTTTCGAGAGATATTCATCTGTTTAGTTGGTTTTTACTCGCTCATCACTTTTTTCTTTTTATTCGGTCGCTTTTCCCTGGTGGCCTTTTTTCTCTGCGCTACGATTCATCTAATATGGTGCCATGCATTTATTGATGGTGACGATGATGATCATGATGATGTGTAAATCATTATATGGGCGTAAAGAACTAAGTATGCATCAAAAGTTTCCTCTCTTTCTAATATTATTTGTAAATTCTTGATCGATCGAAGAAATTTTAATGAATAACTATAAAATAAACATGAAGAAAACGATTCGGGTCAATACGAATGTGATCGACAACTAACATGAAAATTAGAATATATTTAGTTAAAGACGATTAATTGAGAGAGAGAGAGAGAGAGAGAGAGAGAGAGAGAGAGAAAGAGTCAGATGAAAAAAACACATTTACTGCTTGTTTCTTTTTCAACTTATTGTGACAGCCGCTGTTTTATTGGAACGATTAATCGAATAAAAATGAATGTTTCTAATGAGACAAATATAGAAAACTTATAAAATCAATTTTATCAAGATACAGATGAAGTACAGATATAGATGAACGAATGATCAATTGGTCGATTGGACGTGATCGATCGTCCTCAAAAAGATACTTACATAGATGTAGTAGATTTCACCACTTTTATCTTTAACTTGACCCTATCTTCTTCCGGCCGTAAATGTCTTCTAACTACTACTAATGCTATCAAAGAAAAACAAAACTCACTTTGCTATTGACGCATCTTGTTCAAAGTCTATACTGCGCATTCGATTCTTTTAGCTTTGATCGAATTACATTACACTACATACACGCACATATAATAAAACACTCTATCATGGGTGCTGTCGAAGACACGGGATGAAGAGAGTACAATGAGAGTTTCTTAAAAAAAAAAAGAAAAAGGGAGAGCGAGAAGCAGAGAAAAATAAGAAAGTTTTCTCTTCCTATTAGTGGTGCTATTGCTTCCTTTCAACATCATCATAGTTCTAATAGTGCGACGACTATACAAACGGAAACAATCATCTAGGATACTAATACTAGCAGTATTAGTATTAAAAGAAGAATAAGGAGATTAATTTGAGATAAGTCTGTAGTATTGATAGTACTATAAGTAATCGAAGAAACTAGGGACCACATGTTCACTCGTGCGAAACCGAATGAAACGCGGAATAGATCATGTTCCACAATATTTATGCTCGAAAACAGTAGAACTTTAGGAAAGAAAAAAAAATGTTCGGATTACTCATTAAGCTTTTTCTATATTGTGAAACATAATGACATTCAAATGATTGATATACGTAGTAACTGAGGTCTTTACCTCGGCCGTCACTAATTCGATTCATAAAAATAGCCTAAAGAATTAGTCTGGATATTATCACAGCAGTCTTTATAGTTATAATCTCTACATCATTTATACGAATAAATAAAACTAATTTAAGATAGCTTTCTGCTGAGACCAAACGGATGACTGAATTCTTTAATAAAATTCTCTCAATAAATCAACAATATGTATAGATGAAGATATTGATATATAGGATATATATTTGTCAATAGAATTCATGAATGAAAAGAATTTTTATTTAATAATCTTACTATATTAAATAGATAAACAATTAAAAATACTTATCGAAAAGTTGTCTAATTCTCTGGATATGTCAACATGAATCTCATAAGACTATTAAGATCAGCTGCAAAACTATGGTTCTTTTTCAAATGACAATATATTCTTTAACTACGAAGAATACTGCACAATGATGAGTATTATATAAAAAAAAAAGGTGATAACACTTGAATTCTTGTTTTTACTAAACATACAATTTAACCTAAGGCAAGATTTTTTCTCATAATTCAATTCATTGTATAGTTTTATGTTATTTCTTTTTTTACATGTCGGTGCATATCCTTTTGGCTATTGTCTGCTTGTTTTGTTTTTCTACAGGGAATCAAGCTCATTTATGAATCTGTCTTTCATTTTGTTGATTGAACCAATTGAAAACAAGAAAAAAAAAGACTCCTAAAAACTATACTTACTCGTATTCACACATCATCAAGATCTTATTGTCTTTCGTTTTCTTTTTTGTTCTTTGCTTTCTCAAGGGACTTACGATCTGCATTGGAAATGACTGATTTGTTGAGGCGAGCAGTGCGCCTTATATTACGTATGTAAAAGGAGACAAAAAGAAAAGAAAAATGACTTTTTTTTTTCTATAGAAATGTCACGAATCATTAATATAACATCAAAGAGGAAAGATTTTTCATAATAACAGTAAAATAAAAAATTTACTTCGACTTGTCACACTCATGATAGCATATGGCTATCATTAGCTATTATTACAGTACAGCTAATCGTATTAGTCTATAGAAAACAAAAATGATTATTTAAAGAAGTATAGAATGTTTTCATCAAGGCGAAAAAAAAAACATTGTAATTAATATATTTTTAGAGAAACATGATAATATCTTATTCATTTATTCTAAATATAAAGCATACAAGGTTTCTGTTTTTTTTTTCGTTTCTTTTTCATGTTAATTAACAGTGAAATGACATCGACCTTGAAGGAAGTTGTCCATGTTTGTGTGATGGCTGACGAGACTTTGAAAAAACAAAACTTTGATGAAGAATATTCTTATCATAATCACTTGATACATCAACTAAATCCAAACCAGAGCGTAAAAGTACTTCAAGAATTTCAATTGTTGTCATATTTGGTAATTCAATACATCCATAACGTTTACCTTCAAGATTCTGTCCTGAATAGTCACCTGCTGTTGGCGGAGCAGTATTTCTTCGACCAATATAAGCCAATCCTTTTTTTTGTCTTGCACTGCTTGATGACCATGTTGGACTATCACGCCCACGTGTTGGACTAGTTGACCCTTTTGATGAAATAGAACTCTGACGAAGAGTTGAAATGATTGGTGGTCCTTCCTCTTCATCAAGTTCATCTTCTTCAATTGTTGCTGAAAAACTTGGTTTAGCGGAAGATGATGGAGATGATGAACTCGGTTCATACGATGATTCTTCATTAAACGTAATATTTGATGTATAACGTTCAAATATATTATATAGAAGTTGTAGTTCACCGAAAATAAGTATTTTTGAATCAATTGCAAATATTGAATTAGATTTGTCTTCGCGTTTTAAATAAATTGTATCTGTATAGTGAGATTGTTGAAAAGGAGCTGGTGTTTCACTAATCGATACTAGCGCTCGACGACCAACATTAAGGACTGATTCAAGGTCAACACTACCTGTGTTGCTAATAGACATTTATTAATCTAAAAAACTAAAAGAGAAAAAGAAAAGAAAAGTTGAAAACACAGTTTTTTTTCTATATTAACTAATGTCTATTTATGAAAACGGATAGATTTTTAGGTCTTTTATATGTGTAGACGAATTTTAATGGGCTTTTGTATCAATTGTTGGTAAGGGACGGCCTGCATCAAATGAATCTTTATTACGTAATAAAATAAATTCTTGTAATTTTGTTGTTGCTCCAAAATTAGTTGCATTAGCAACAATTGAAAAATAGTGTTTATGCAAAATTTCCAATACTTCAATAAATGACATTGTTGGTAGCTCAACTGTTGTATAGAGTTTTCCTGATAAACGATCATGATTTTTAACCATTTCAGGGTCTTCATGATGAATTTTAATATGTGATGTATATTTTTGAAATATATCCGTTAAAACATGATAATCACCTATGAGAAAACAATAGATTAAGTTTACAAAAACAAAACAAGAAAATATTTTGAATGCTAAAAGACAAACCATGAAAAATACAACGACCATCTTCTTTTAATATATCATTCGATTTTTCAACTTTTAAAATAATAACATCTGTATAACGATATGCATCTTGAGAAGCTTGAGGTGCTGTAACTGATAAACGTCGTCGACGCACTTGAAGAACTGATTCAAGATCGATTGCAGTTGTTGACATAGACCGTGATTGTTCTCGTTCCATTGAAGGTGACTACATAAACAGATAGAAATGTTTATGTAATGAATTTATTTAAACTAGTTAGTATAGTGTTTTGAGTACGAAACCTGCGAAGAAACTATTTTTTGTGACTAATTTTCGCTGTTCGTCTACAAGCTTGTTGTGAACTGTCGTAAAACTAACTGAAGAATCTTTACGTACTATAGCTGCCTCTACAAACATTTTTATTATATCAAATAAGAGTTAATATGGTTTTTTTTTGTCATTCACTCTTCTGTTATATATTGATCTTTTTATAATCTATTTCTCATTAAGGGCAATAAAAACATGAGAAAAAAAAAGGAATAAAATGTTGATCATTCACTTTCTTGTTGTATCATAGTTTATTTAATGTTAGTTATCTTTTTCAGAAAAATTAGTTCGTAAAACAATTTAGTATCTAATCCTTAACGTCAGCATTTTCTCATCGTCTTCTTTTCTTATTTTCAAAGACACACTACTAAATAGAAATAAAAAACAAGGAATATATTGATGTGTGGTGATGATGTGAAATAGACAAAGACGATGAAAAAAAAAAGACAAAATGTATTGCTATCGCCAAATCAAGCAGAACATACATCTAATTATGTAGGTATGCATACATACACTATTTTTTTATCGAAATACATACTCTTCGGTACTCTTCTTTTCTTTTTTGTTCGTTTTTTTTCACCTATAGTGATAAACAACGTTTCTTTTTTTTTCTCTTTTGCTTAAATATATTGCTTTTAAATCAACTTTTTAAGTCAACGCCTTCGTTTCTTATGAGAAAAAAATAGGCCTTCTAATAAACCCGCGATTCTTATCGAATATAAAATAATCAAGGTTGCACCTGTAGATTACATTTCAAAACCATTATTTTATGTCAACTTTTGTATAACAGCTCAATCGATTAATCACTGTTACCTTTTTTCTTGAAAACATTTTGTAAATAATATTGACTTTTATTGGAATAGATTTGGTTGATAATGAAACCAAAAAAGGAGTTATGTGAATCACGCTATGTAGTAATCAGATTAAACAAAATGAATCTATGCATGTTATTCTTTAGCTCATTACATTCTTTTTCTTCATTTATTCGTGCTCCAAGGCAAAGCACAAGAGCCCTGGCAGCAAAAAAACTATGGTATCTATGTTAATGATCGGCTGCTTACATTTCAACGATACAATTCAAATGCGTAGTTAGAATACGTGATGAGTGTGAGGCGACACGCGTTATGAAGTCAGTGATATGAATAATAAAAGTAATGTTTATCACAGAAACATAAAAGTAAAAAAGATGAATGTATTGTACTGACGATATTTTGAAACATAAGAAAAATCTTGTTTGATTCTTTTTTCAGCTTGTTAAGTAAACCAAAATCAATAAAGATCAAATGATTTTTTAAATAAACAATAAATGTGAAAGTTTTATTCATGATAATTTGTAATATATTTTTAAATGAATGCGAGAAGAATATTTATATATATTCTTATTCGTCGTTTAATTGAGAGACAATAAAATCAGTTCTTATTCTCGAGGGAACCTTTCAAGGTGTCTTTTTCTCTTTTCAATGACTTTTTTGTCTATAGATATTACACGATATTCTTATTGAAAACCTCAACAGGACTTGACTTCCGATTGGGACTTGTTCGAGCAATATATCTATTTGTCACAGGTCCGTGTATATGCTCAGATTTCCCGAAAAATCATGTTTTTTAAAGTTTGTCTTGGAATGATCTTCATTTGACGATCTCGCATACAGTATCTTGTGTGACGAAGAGTTTCATAATCTTTAGACCTTGTACATCTGAGCTTTCAACTTTTCAGAAAAAAAGATGCTTTTCGACACATAATGAATAATACAAGAAAATTTTGAAAAAGTTTCTATCTCGGAGATACCAAGTCTATCAATCTTGAAGCTCTTTAAACATGCTATTGTCAATGAGATCTTCAAAGACAGATAGTTTCAAGAAAGAATCTACAACGACGATTTTCCCGAAATCCTGAAGTTCTACATGGATCTCTGATAAACTGACATATTAAAAACAATAGCTCCATCAAATGTCAAAAAGAACACAAATCCTTTTAGAATTTTCACTAGAATACTATGTAATATCGGTAGGCAAAACATTAATTTTGAATGAGGAGACGAGCAGATGGAGAAGTTTCTTCGTCAATTAATTTCATTGCTTGCAATATTTGTTTCTTTTATAATTAAATTCTACACAAACTCATCATCAACTAATTATTGATATTTAGGGTGTGTTTTTAATCTTTTCTTTTCATGTCTATAAGGTATTGAGTATGAATATTATTGATTACCAAGATACTCTTAAATATCAAATTTATTATTAATGAAAAAAAAAAGCATGTCATCAATAATATCGCTATCAAATGAATAAAAGTAAAATGCAATAATTTACTCTCTTCATGGTGATTGCACTAGTTTTATAAATTATAAACTGAAAAAGCTTGCGATGAGTCATTCCAGTGTTCAAGAAGTATTAAGCTATGTAGCTTATCTTCAATGATTAAACTTTGAAGATGATCTGTAATCAAACACGCTGCAATTTAAAATTATTACAATACACGTTTGGCGTAGTATTTACGGATTGATAATGTTAACAGAGTTGTTGAATTGCATTGATTGTTCTTCATGTTCATATGCCCTGCTATAAATACTTGTTATCGAATGTATATTCTTGCCCTATATAATACTTTCAAATGCCTGAAGCACACAAAGGATGGCTTTTGTATTTACTATATTTAAACGAATATTTTCTATTATTGTCGAAATCTGATCATCGATATTGACAAATATGAAAATATGATTTTACGAATTCTTTTGTACAATCATATCATTGACTTGTGTGCGACAACATCCATTTTTCATTTGACATTTTCTCATCTCGTGTATAGTTATAAAAGGACATCATTTACTCATGTGAAGCAAAACTGTTGAAAGTCAGGTTAAAATCGATTTTCGTAAAATAATCGCGAAAAATCGATTATCTACGGTATTTTTTTTATTGAACTCAATACAACTTTTAATTGGAATCATTTTTTTTCGGCAGTACTCACGATCTAGAAATTATAAATCCTATAAAATTCTAGCAATTCAACAAAACCAACATCTTGACATACATGTAGACAAAAAGAAATTAAGCAATTCATAACTATTCCTGGAATTCAACGGAAATGTAACAATCAATAGTGAAAGAAAAATCTATGCCTCTTTAAATATTATTAAGCATTAGAATTCTATTTTATTGTTAGAGTTGTCATAGATTTCTTGATTTCCTTAAGTTTCTGTAATTCATTTATTTTCTTGGATGTTTATTGATCTGTAGATTTGTGTGTTACTGTTTTAGAATAAAATTCTATACAATTTCTAATACCTGGATCATGGGTATATAGCTTTCGTCTTAATTCTGTTAAACTTAAGATTTTATATGCTAAATACATTAAAATAAATTTATTTGTCAGAAATCTAAATAATCTATTAAAAATCTAATCAACTGTAATTGATTGTTTGTTTACTCTATGGGAATCAATGAAAATCTCTCGAGTAGTTCTTATAGAATAGCAATGATAAAAAAGACGAAAACTACATCTGCTTTTGTCTGAATACTGAAAAATTGGGTTACAATCTGTTCATAGGATTATGTAATTCGAATTCAATCCGATTCATTATCAAAATTTCATTCATGGATGTGTTTTTATTCAGTGTTGGAAGTATTATGTGTTTAAAGAACAATTTCCATAGTCATGTTATTTTTGATATAATCTTTTACCAAATGAAGTGTAAACTGTCTACGTTTTATTCTGCGTTTTGAATATACAGTTAGGAAATTGATTAGAATGAAAAAAATCGATTCCAAACTGTTCATCTAGTAAATAATTTATTTTTATCTTGTTTTTGTATATTTGTGTTTGATGAAATATCGTTCTTCGTTTAAGTTCATCGGTGTTAGAAATGAACAACGCCAAGATACGACTCGTAGTGGAACTATTGAAAAGAAGTCGACAGAAGAAAAAGAAGTATTACGCTGAACTAAACTGGTGAGATTAATGAGAAAGAATAGCTTATGTAATATTTCTGTAAAAATACAAGGACTACTTGTTAACTAATGAACCATATCCGAATAGTTGTTCTATAATCGAGAAAGAAAAGAGTCTATATTGGAAGATTTAAAAGCTCATTGAACTTCTCATTAGAATGTAAGTGATTTTAATTAATCTGGTACGAAATACAGAATTCATATAAATCGAGGTGAATCTGTTTTCTAGAATGAATATTAAACATTTATTATTTCAGATGTGATGCTTTCCGAAATAGATATTCATGATATATCATTCCAAGACAAGAAGAAACTTCTAAAATTCAACCGACAAAATACTTTATTCAATCCTTAAGAAGATATTCTGTTCATTAACAAATAGTCCTGGAAAAAATTGTATTGTTGTAGATTTTGTTTTTTCGACCTAATTGCAACAAAAGCAGTAGCAAATAAGAATAGTTATACGAAGCACTTTGAACAAATAGTATTTTCCATTACTGCAATGAGAAACAGAGATACAAGAAAATGGAAAATATAAATAATTTAGCGATCTATTAACAAAACATTACCAATATGTTGATTAGTTGTGGAAGACAACTTACAGTAATAATTATTATCACATACGGTTTTTACATTCTTTTCAATTTCAATTATCTAATCGACATGAGTATTTTGACAAAATAATTTTTTCAATACTATAAGAGAAAATCGTTGGCCATTTGAGTGTGAAGAAAAGATGTCCAGGGTTACCCTGCCGAATAGAGTAAACGTTAAAAAATTTTTCTCAGTCAAGATAAAGGCTACGAAGAACAATATCCAGTACATCTTTAGTCTAGAAAATACTACAAGAAAACTTATTTTTTAATTTGGCACTAGATTGTTGTTCAACATTCGACAAATAACTGCTATTTCACATATACAATTCAAAACAGCTTCACGTT